GTTCTTAGTATCTAAATATAATTTCTATTTCACTAAAGCTTGTTGAGTTCCTGAGAAGCTAACAATGCACATTTGAAATCTGTTTTTGAATTTGAGCTCCATCTAGACGCTGGAAAAGTTTCACGGTGTTAATTATCAGCTGATAATTTTCTTAGATGGCTCCATACGACTTCAAGCCTCACAGTATGTGTACTTTTCTGATTTTCGTTTTTTTAACCAGAAATCCTGATATTATCCTGATTTCTCCCGATTTACCAATGAGTGCCTTTCTTCTTGCGTTTCTATAATGTCTTAGATGTTTTTAGACGAATTTTTATCGAGATTTATATTAAAATAGGTGCAAATATATTTTTAGAACAATGATTACAGTCGCCGTAACTATCAAAAACGATAACGTCTACGGTCGTTTCATACAGTTTTCAGTTGTTGATTGACATTTGATAGGCACAGTTTTATTTTATCGTTCCGTGAATAGTTAATAGTGGCCGTAAAACCATCTGAAAATCGAGTATACGCTCATTTACGACCGTTTGCTACACAATAAGATGCGGCGATATTCAGCGTTTTTTTGTGACATTCGATGTATTTTTCTCTTTTCAAGCTGTTCTTTTTACATTTGGTGTTCTGTTTCTCTGACTTTAGTGTATTTTTGTCTCACACTCCGGTTTTCCTCTTACATTCAGGTATATTTTGCTCTTACACTCCGAGTTTTTTCTCTTACATGTTGGATGTTTACCTTGAATAATTCTTACTCAAGTACACGGATGCAACACATCTAAATAGTAAGAACATCAATAGATAGCGTGTGCGTAAGATACCGTGCTCTAATTTTCTTTTGTTCATTTTATTCATTGTAGTCAATGCTTCACTACACAATTTGTGGGTTATCGCTGCTGTATATTTTAAGGTAACGGGATTTCATGCTGGTGGTCCTACCACATGATTCATTATAAATATGCTCGTAGACTGAACAATAATCGGGATGAGTGTGGGGATGAAGATGCATACTTCTCAGCTTGGTGTTATACCAGAGATGAGCAGCTGCGACTCCGAAGCGATTCGTGAAAATGATGGAGCTGAACTGTAGCGAGAAATGGTCGGAGCTGCCCATCTCTGTGTATACCATCACTATCTCACTCTGATTCAAATTAGAAACGACCGACTTCTTTTTAAATTCGTACTTATCTCAAATATTAAGCACACGAGTAACGAGATATGTTCTGTCAGTGAAATACATCGATATCCTGTGCACTTCGATATGAAATCCCAAAATAAAAAACATACGCTATCATTACATGATGATGCAACTTTACTTCTGATGTTACCTGTCGAAATGAGAAAATGCACAGATTGTTTCCCATATGTGAAGTTCGATTGTTACGTACTTGCAACAAGATCGAACAATCTTAATGTGTTTTTCTATGTTGAATTTTTTCCACATATTTAACATTCTACTAGCTTTCGAACTAATTAAATATCCGACATAGCAACAACTGAAGCAACAGGTAAGATCACACAACGCATTTTACGTCTAAGTGATCCTGCTAATTAGTAATTACAAGAAAATGCGGATTGTTATAGCACAAGAGCCGTGTTGAATATCAGCCGCAATGCAGGAAAAGACATTCGTAAACATTCTACCTGTCTGTCCGAGGATGAAATGCTTCTTTTTGCTGGAACTCGGCTTAAAAGACGAGGGCGCATAAGAGCATATTTTGGGTCACTTGTTTTTTTCTTGAGGAAAATAGATAAAAATCACCCAGTTTTGTAGAGCTTTCAGTTGGTGAATCTAGCTACATAGCAATATGGCCGAAAAATCGAAAGGTTCAAGGTTACCTATGCCACTCACAGGCTTGATCATTGATACCTAGAGTAGTTCAAAAGTAGTGGTAATGATACTTTAATACCGTATAGTAAGCTTTAAAAGAAGTTTCTTTTTATTTGTAGTGATAGTAAAAACAACGCTCTACCTTTCTGTCATTCTGTATTCGGTCTTTGATCTTTTCTTTGTTCTTTTTTAAAGCTTAAGCGTCTACAAACATTAGAGTACACAAAATGTAGTGGCGACAGTATAAGAGAAATCAAAAGTCAGGTTCATTAAACGTTCGAAATAATTGCTTTGATTATTTACACACAATTGCATACGTTGAATACATTTATCGAACGCTTTTTACACTTTTCTTGATTCAAAGAGTGCATAAAGTCGGTTATTCTATCACGGCATATAAAAAGAAAGTTTCCTCAAGCTCACCATACAATATTAAAGTATCACTGTCAATACTTTTAGACTTTAATAATTCCACGCTCCTTATATTTAAACAGAAAAATTATAAAAATTTTCTTCAATTTGCTGTATATTTGTGAAATTTTCATTTAGAAGCTCAACAATCAACTGCAGAGACTGGCCCAAAGAAACTATCTTGTAGCGGTCGTGCTTGTCTAACATGCGGAAAATGCCGTGATTGGCGTTTTACCGACGATGCGGCAACTTGGAACTGGATAAGTAATTACAAGAATTGTGATAACAACGATTGGAAGCGCTGACGTCGTGGTCGTATGTGGAAGCCTTTTGAGCGTAATGATGATGCGATGTGTGCTAGTGTTAGTCATGGTTCTGGTAGTACTTATGATGATCCTGTTCAGTGGCGTATCCAGGATTTTCAGATCAATGGGTAAACTTCTCTTGAGTCAGAAGAAAACGATGAGCAAAGTGAGCAAACATTTTATTGATGGGCTCAATAAAGTGCTAATAAAGTAAAAAAAACAAAAAAGTAAAATGAGGTTATTTTAATCAAACTCAGGTCTTAGGCCCACGCCAGGTGTAGTTTGGACTATTTTTTGTCTCTGTTTATGAGCCAGTTCGCCAAAGCCTCAACCTACTGCTATAGGAGGTTGCTCAAACATAGCCTAAGATCTGCGTGATATCTTACCCATCTTGTCGAGCGTGCTTTTTAGGTAGAGGACCAAAATTCGTATTGTTCATAACGATTTTTTTGCCACGTTCTACTGACTTTTTAAGCGAATTTTTGTCAAAATTTTCTAGATTTTTACCAGAAAACAATAGAAAAATCACCTTCCAAATAGATTCTCTCTCAAGAAACGGGTGGGATGGTGTTCAGACTTTCTTTTCAAGCATTATAAAGCCAAAAACTATTCCACACTGCAAGTAGAAGTTTGGGATCTCTGATTGAGCAAAGTCGGTAGTAGCTTAGGCGGACTGGCTTTTATAACGTTCATATTTCAAACTCAAACACCAAAATCAAGACAACGACGGTGCATTTGTGTATATAGTTTCAATATCTTATCTGGATTTATGGTAAGATTTTCATGAATATATGCAGCAGCAAGTGCACTCACGTATGGCAACAGATGAAAGATGCAGATGGAATACCTATATATGACGCCATGACAGTGATAAAAAGAGAAAAAAATGCAAATGATGCCGACATCTAACAGTTTGGTTCGAGACTGAGAACATGGTAGAGCGAACGTATTATAGAAATATTCACATATACACGAACGACCAAGGGAAAAACCCGTATAAACTAAGATACAAAAAGCGATTCTTTCGTTAATTCATCACTGTAAGAACAAGCAAAAGTGCATGTTGGGTTCCGAGGAAAAAAATACAATGAATATATTAATTCAAAAATAAATAAACAATTCTAGAAATAAAGTTTCAATGGGCGAAAGCTTACTAATAAAAATTACAATGGGTAAATCTCAGAATGAAACGGGCAATTGCTCATTTGCCTCCTCCTTGGATACGCCACTGCCCTTGAGGGATTTTTCATACCTCACTGTGTCTATCTTATGCAGGGAGTGCAAACTCTAAAACGATTTATCAGTTGAATCGGTTCCTTCTTTAGATCATTCTCTCTATTTAGTCTTTCGTACTAATAGAGAATATCATGTAGATATATTCATTTAAATCTTATAATCCTGTGGAGAAGTAATATGATTGTAGATAGCTCAGCAGAGCTTATATAACGCTTACTTTTTCGATTAAAACATAATACAAACTCATCCTCATCCTTATTAGTTCTTCAACGAACCTCTTTCCAGCCAGAACCATTTACAGAGCACGATCCGGTGCCCAATATGAGAACGCATAAAAAGCTTTAGCAAAACTCTTTTTTTCAGATTAAATTGTCTTTGCTTTGAATGTGACGATTACCCTGTCACAATAGTAAGTGGATAAATAAAATGTATTTGATATGAACACAGTCCATATATTTCTTCTTCAAATAATTGATTATTTCAGATGTCTGCACATAGTATTCAAACTGAGCACGCAAAGGAACACTGATAGTCCCTTTTCTCGTTTGTCTATATAGCAAAAAGAAAAAGTCACGTTCTTATTATTCTTTGATAGAAGAGAACGTTTTCTCCATCGTCGTCAAATGTTAATTGAACGATGTTAGATGAACATGTATCGGTAATTGATGAAAATGATACCTTAACGTCATAACTATTCTAACATCTAGTAAAATTTATCATAGTTTTGGGAAAATTAGCGACATCTCTTCGCAAGTTTAGTAGATGTATGGTATTCTAAATAGTGATGAGGATACCAACAGGAATAACACTCGTCTTACTCATCTTATCGTATGTTGAAAGCACAATTTATCTTTACAATACTGAAGACGGTTCGTCAGTCGAGTTTTACGATTGCATCAGACACCATGATTTATCCTACTGTCGTCGTCCGATAATGCCCATTCCTCTGGTGCGAGAGACTAAGACGAGACAGTGCTATTATGATGGAATCGCGCATTCTTTCGTGAGACTCCAATCAAGCAATATCAACGTAAGTACTATTTTGCATCATTGGAAATCCAGCATTGAAAAGGTTGAACAATACTCGCGCTATACGAGACATCTAACGGAATCTAATGAATATTTATGTGAGTGCACTCATCCACAATCATTCGGAAAAAACTGAGTATTTGTTACCGATTGGTACGACGTTCGAAGAAACACTTATTTGGGAAAAAGAGATGAAATCGAAAAACGAATGGAAAGTGCAACTGCACAGTAATATTACATGTTACACAACATTGGAGTGCGATTATGGTCTACTGTGTCTCGATTGGCGAGATATTTGTGACGGTATTCAGCAATGTTTATTTGGGTTCGATGAAGAGCAGTGTGACATGCTCGAGTTCAACGAATGCGAGGACGATGAATATCGCTGTATGAATGGAATGTGTATCCCGGACAAATACTTTCTTGACGGTGAATTCGATTGTTTGGATTGGAGTGATGAAATACAATACTACGATGATCGAAAATGTGCATTCGAAGAGGCTACTTCTCCATGTGATGATCGAATGTGTCCGCCGGATCGATGGTCATGTGGTGATGGACAATGCATTTTGGACCGGCTTAGTTTTCAAAGTCCGTCAGATCTGGTTTCATGTAATAGTCGACGTGATCAGTTTTATTTGTGTGAAACGTATTATTATGATCTACCCAAACGGTCGATGCATTATCGAAAATGAATACGAAGAACTGAAAGCCGGAAATCGCACCTCTGATGAAGAATGTCGATACTTACTCAAATGTGGTCTTTCAAAAGGAGCAGAGATACGCTGTCCCTGTGGACGTAATTCCACCTGCTTCGATCAGCTTGAGCGTGTTTGTCCTCCTGGGCCTGTTCAATACCCAAAAGCTGGGATAATCGCCCCATATATATTATACTTCTTTGTTTATGATAAAGAAGTCGATGGATACTGGTTGGATTTTGTCGAGATCAATGGCACAATTAAATGTCGAGGATTTTCAGTCAATTTTGAGCATTTCTACCAGATGCCACCAAGTTCCAATCTTCGAAACACTGAATACGATTTGTGCTGGAGAACGCAGAAAGGAGATGTGTTGGAAAACAAAGGATATCTCAAAGACTGTCACAATCAATCACAAACTTTCAATAATCGATCATACAATTTCAACGATATTTGTGTGCTGTCGAAAGAATGTATTTCAGCATATAGAATCAGAGACGGTGTGAAGAATTGTGCCAGCGAAGGCGATGAATCAACAGACGAACTTGCTTTAACGACCTGTTCAAATATTCGACGTCATCGTTTCCGTTGTTCCATTGAGGAACCAGCTTGCTTAAGTGTCACGTCTCTAGGCAATCATCTAGATAATTGCAGAAATAGTTTCGACGAATTATGGATGGGTACGAATATGAAACTGTCTAATATGAATTGCAATAGTGAATCGACTCTTGAGTGTGATGTTCTTCGTCAGTACATTGAAACATCATGGATATCGATCGATAAAAATCAATCCTCTGTGCAATTTAAACTTTCATTTCGTGCTTATTGTGACACATTTTGGAATCTACCTTCGCACGAGGACGAGAACTCGACTGAGTGTCAGAAGTCGTGGGTGTGTTTAGAGGAGCAATGGCAGTGTCACACAGGACAATGTATCGATAAAAACTGGGTACTGGATGGAGAATGGGATTGCCCTGATGCATCAGATGAAGAAGCAATTTTCGATTGGGGAATATCAGACCGAAATGCACAAGTTATTCAACTTTCTGTACTTGAAGAAAAATTTTACAGGTATCATGGTGCTCAACCGTTTTCTGCGTTCTGTAATCTAAGTGAAGAATTTCCATGTTTACGTGCTGATATGCCTAATGAACTTCATAATTTTACACACTACCGACCTTGTATCAACCGACGACAGATTGGAGATGGTCGTGTCGACTGTTATGGCGCCATAGACGAACGAAATACTCTACCATCCTGCCATCGACCGACAATGCTCGGATACTACTTCGCATGTTTATCACATTATATATGTATTCCATATTCTAAACATTGCAGTTCAGAAACATGTAGAGATACATCTAACGATCATTTCTGGTGCGATCGTTTTAAACGTTCATTGTTCTTTGATGGAAAGACAGATTTTGTCTGTATCAACGGATCCGACACAAAAGATGGTAGATGTAATCGCATTTGGAACTGTCCTTTTGGTGAAGATGAATACATGTGTGATTACGAAAATAAACTGAAACAAGTGCTCGTATCCTATCGTGACGTGAAAGGATTGAATGCAAAGAACAACAAGAAGATGCTTCCTCTTCACCACTTTCCAGAGAATATAAACGCAAGCAAACTTGCAAATGATTCAATCGTAACAACTCAAAAGAACTTCACGGGAACAGTCGCTCCTAATCTCACATCATCATTAATTCCTTATATATGCAATCGTGGTGTTGGTGTTCAAATGTACAATGGTTCAACGATCTGCTTCTGTCCACCACAGTACCATGGCGAGAAATGTCAATTTCATAGTGATCGAGTCTCCGTTCTTTTTCACCTCAATCTTTCTCAATCAATTTATACGACCGAGAGCGATCCCACTATTGTCGTTAAACTGCTTGCGCTATTCATGTTCAACAATGAAACACTCGCTGCTGCCGAATTTTGGAACCAAGAATAAACGAAAATCCTCGAATGATTTCACTGTGGCAGTGTCCGATCTACTTCGACTATCTGCCTGTCTTTCGTCTCGCCAAAGTTCTTCAAATGAGTCTGGTGACCATCGACGGAAATCTATGCTCAAGCAATCCTTGTCGTGAGAATCAACAATGTCAGCAAGTTTTCAATGAAAAATCCAAGTATATTTGTCTTTGTGCAAACAAGTTTACGAGAGAACATTGTTTAATTGAAGATCGACTATGTGCTCTCAATTATTGTTCGACTACAAGCTTATGTAAACCACGCTATCGAGGTTTATTGAGAGAAAATGAACGACCGTACTGTGTATGTCCGTTAAATCGCTTCGGTGAACGATGCGAACTCGAGCACGATCAGTGCTCATCGAGTCCTTGCCAAAATGATGGCTCGTGCTTTTCAACTTCAAATCCTGATCAAATTGTATGTTTGTGTACTAGTAAGTTTTATGGACAAAAATGCGACTTAAGGAAACCATATATTGAATTGAACATCAATCAAAGTGTCGAACACGCAGGAGCCGTCGTTCAATACTTTAATATTGATTTCATAGTGCTCGATCTCATTGCCGTACATCAACAAGCGTACAAAACTCTTCCTCCCGTTTTCAAATATCAACATGCCAAAAAAACGGCACCAGAAATCATTTTAGTCAAACTCTATTCGTCGCACACTGAATCTTCAGCTGAGATCTATTTAGTTTCACTTCAAACTGATGTCAGGGCGATCTGTGAAACAAGTCAAATAATCGAGCAAAATCGGTGCAGAGACATTCGTACAATGACTACAGGTAATATTACTCAGTTTCATGCACTAAATATTCACCTTTGTTGATCCGTTTTAGACTTCACACCAATGAAATATCATTCCCACTGTCAGATCAATAGAACTCTCATCTGCTTCTACGACAACTCGTACCTGTGTATCTGCAGTAAAAATCACACTGGTGTTGAATGTTTTGGCTATGAACATAATCTCGATCGTTGTTCACATTGTCTAGCTGGGGGTCGTTGCATAAAAGGAGATCTTTTTCAATCAAATGATTTTGTCTGTCTGTGCCCGTTATGTTATTCAGGTACTAACTGTCAGTTCAATTCTAATTCGTTTGCCTTCACTCTCGATCAACTCTTTTACACCGATCTGATCTCAGTCAAGCGGTATATTACTGTCTTTTTGCTCATCATCGGTTCTCTTCTGCTGTTCTTCACTGCCTTACCAAACAATGTCTTCTCTTTTGTCACCTTTCGTCGCCAAAGGTGTTTGAATAATGGTGCCGGTCAGTATTTGCTCTGCATGAGTATTATTAATCAAATCAGTCTCGGACTTCTGGTCGCTCGTCTTATTCATCTCACAGTTAGTATCACGAGTGTTCAATCTCGTTCAATCGTCGACAATGTTTTGTGCAAAGTATTCAGCTATTTGCTGACTTGCTCCACTCGTATTGCCTATTGGCTGGCCACATTTTTGGCGATTGAACGTGTCTACACAGCGGTCTATGGTTGAAAAAGCCGCACATAGCTCGACGTCTGATAGCGTTGATATTTCCTACCATATTGCTTTCTGATGCCTACGAACTGTTTTTTGTTAAATCATTTTCCGGCGCCAATAACAGTTTCATGTGTGTGATCGAGTTTCCGATCCTTCGTCAGTCAACGTGGATGCTTATCCATCAGACTGTCACGATCACTAATTTCATCTTACCAATATTGATCAATATTTGCAGTACGATTACGATCATTTGTATCGTTATCAAGAAGAAGATGAATACACGTGCGTTCGACGTGTGTATGTTGATCTTTTATGATTTCCTTTAATAGAGCTGTGAAAACTAGCGTTTTCTTTTCTTCTTTTCTATTTTCTTTTCTTAATCACGCTATATATAGTGCGTATCAACGTTATACGCACACATTTGCTAAAAATTGCCAAGAAGTGAAAAGAAAGGAAAGACATCTTATTTGATACATCCCTATTATACCAACCCTATTGTATCAACGTTATAGGCTATAACGTTGATACAATAGGGTTGGTATAATATATATAGCGTGATTAAGAAAAGAAAATAGAAAAGAAAACAAAACGCTAGTTTTCGCAGCTCTAATATTCTAAGATATTTTAGGCACTGAAAATATATCAAATGTAACAACTGTGAACACCAGCGCGGTACAACAAAACAAACACCTAGAAAACACGCTTATGAACAAACCTGAAGGTAATTTTTATGAGATTTATCAATAATTTTTCAGTTAAAAACAATAAGGCACATGTTGGAAAAAAACCTTTCACTCAGAGATTTTTTAACCACAAATACTATATTTTTTGAAATACTTACGAAAGATGTTCTTGTTTTGAGGAAATGAAAACAAAAAGGAAAACCGCAATCGTCTCAATCTATTGCGTGACGTGCTGAGTGACAACAAGGAACTGATCGGCCGACCTGTAATCATGCTTGTTCCTTCAATTTTCTCTCTTTTCTCATTATTACTCTTTATTATCTCGTTTTCGCTTGGCTGTCAAAATTTGGAAAAAAGTTCCTTACGTTACCTCCTCATTACTTTCTACTTCCTCTCGTTTATTCCTCAAATCATTACTTTTTTTATCTACGTACGTCCTTCATCACTTTATACAAAAGAATGGGAAGCAACGACACTAAGAAAATAGGTGACCAGATCCAGGCGCCGACAGTGAACGTAAAACACGACAATTGTTTCTCGATTGAAGAGCACAAAACAAGATACTGGACGAATTTGAAAATAATTCAACATTTTCATTTTGGACTCCTCGCGCCACTACATGTGGAATACATTCTGTCTGATTTTTTTCAATAGTTGGCCAAAAATTCTTGTTTGATAAATCGGATGACTGTAAACCATATTCTCTCGGCTAATATCCTTTTAAAATAATTCATTATAGTTAGAAAACGTAAAGCATACTTAATGCCGTTCAAACTGACTGCTTATCGATGCGGCGTCTAATCTCTGGAAAGCGGTGTTTCGGATATGAAATTGTCAGCAATTGTTCGGAAGGCGCTAGATACTTCTAGAGACTGCTGATCCGCAATACTATAGGTTGAAATATCGGGTATCATTCCTGAAACACAAAATTCTAGCTCCAACAACAATTTTGATTTTTCTTGTCGATCGTGAATACTTTTCGATGACGACATTTTTATCCAAAAGGGAATAAATTCGTAGTAGAGTATCGAACTTCTATTTCTGTCGGTATGTATTGCAGAATAAATGACTGATGTGGATTTATTTAAATTCAGAAAGAAAGTAAGCTCTTTCTTTCTCTGTCTTTCTGCCGATAAGTACACACCTGTGAGTGTGAGATTTTCTTATCGATACTTCTTAGGCCATTATAATCGTTATGTATAATGGACATGCCTTCAGTGGCTGGAAAATATTGATCATTTTCAATCACACCTTAAGCTTAAATATTCACGACCGACAAGAAAAATCAAAATTGTTGTTGAAGCTAGAATTTTGTGTTTCAGGAATGATACCCGTATTTTCAACCTATAGTATTGCGGATCAGCAGTCTCTAGAAGTATCTAGCGCCTTCCGAACAGTTGCTGACAATTTCATATCCGAAATACTGCTTTCCAGAGATTATAGAAAGTGGTCAACAGTGGCTGTCTTTTGCTACAGGTCATTCACCTAGGTTACTTTGATCTTTCTAGAATAGTGACGTATTTGGACAAATACTTGTTTATCATACTTTGTACCATAAAGATGAGCATATATCTATTTACATCGTTACCAGTTTCAATAAAAACTAGAGGCTGATATTTTATCCATACTTGGTACTTTAACCTGTGTAAACGAGAAATTAATGGAAAACTTTAATTATAGATATGACTTAGTCATATATGCGATATACATGGGGCACTATAAAAGTTTTTCGCCTGCTTCTTCTAAAATCCTCAGTTCGAGTTTAAGTATTCTTTTATAATGCTTAGACATATTTAGGATTGTGTGCAAAATTTCAGACTTATAAGTTCTGTGCATTGCTGTAGTCTATCATTATTTTACGTTAATAATATGCCAGTCTCTATATGCTACATATAGGATAATTCATAAAAGGTAAATGGCAGAACTTCGCATTGCATATTTTGATCCTTAAAAACGTTTAACAGAAGATAAACCATGGAAAGCTCTACTATTAACAATGTAAAGCTTATATCCCTAGAGAAAGTACTGAGTTCAAGGTCCCCATGTACTGCGAAAACCGTAGCAGGGTACCCGATATGGGTACTTCGAAAATTCTCAGTAATTATACTGATGTAGGTACTGCATTAGGTACCCATAGCAGTATGTTCACTGAACAAGTATTTGTATGGGTATCCACATCTGTAATTTTATCGAGGATAGCTCTACAGAGTACTCTAAATTTGTCGCGTTCTGTTAGGCAACTGTTTAGTCACCGTTTTCTTTTGCACACACAGCGTCGTATAAACAACTATAGAAAACATAAGAAACTAATATTTTTTCATTAAATTAAATGGAAAAAATGTAAGAAATTGATTTGAGAAAAACAAAAATTAAAAAAAGAGTCAAAGGTTAGGTTCGATCAACAACATACTGCAGTTTGGCAACAGGGTACCTAAAAATACTGTGCAATAGTACCCAGTTGAGTATTTGATTAGTACTTTTAAGTACCCATTTACTAGACGCTTTCCAGCAGAGTACCCGACAAGGTACTGAGAGTGCCCGACAGATCCTGTGGCATACTAGTAGCAGGGTACTTTTTCGGGTACCCTTAATTCAGTACACTCACTAGGGATGTTAATTGTGTACTTTTTGTTTCATAATACATTAGAAAGTATTCCAAGCGACCCACTTTCGATACTGCGAAAAGTAGTTCAGAGAATTTCGCTACTTTTTGAAAACCAAAAGTATACAATTAAAATGAATTGTTGAGCTTTTAGCGCTGCATCTTGTAGTATAAGAGTTGACCAAAATTTCTGGCCATGGGGATGGAGGCCACCTTCCATCTCCGTGACCAGAAATTTGATATACCCTAAGTATATGCGATTCCTATTGTATTACTAGCGATTACTGTATGGTGCTCGCTTCTATCATTCAGTTTTACAAACAAAGTGAAATATTAAAGGCTTTCATCATTGGCTTGGGTAAGGCGACCTTTACCAATTTTTGCCGTTTTTCCATTGTCCCTCAAATCGGGAACCATCACTTGAAGTTAAAGTGCCTTTTCCGCTTCTCTTACTGTCTTCATATCCTCCTTCATATAGATCGCCATCCGTCCACTTCATCACGCCGTGGCCAGTTCTGCTATCAAGCTGCCAGTCTCCCTCGTAACGATCGCCGTCAGCCCACGTATAAGTACCTTCTCCGTGCCGCTTGTTATTTTTATATTGTCCCTCGTATCGATGACCCTCCTTCGACGTCGCAATTCCTTGTCCACTCTTCTAATCATCTTGGAATTCTCCCTCATAACGTTCGCCGTCTGCTGAAAACAAAACGCCTTTTCCATGTTTCTTAAAATTATTCAATTCGCCCTCATAACGATCGCTTTTCGTAGAAATCCAAATGCCTTTTTTTAATTCTTTCCCTTCGTTGAAATCCCCCTCATACCGTTCGCCTGATACCGAGATAAAAATGCCTTTTCCATTCTTTTCGTTATTCTTAAATTGCCCCTTGTGCCGACTACTATCCTTCCCAGCCCACACACCTGTTCCGTGCTTCGTGTCATCGTTAAAATGTCCCTGATACGTATCACCATCTTTGTTTTTACAAGCACCTTCTCCACTTTTCTTGCCATCTTTATACTCTCCCTCGAAATGTTCACCGTCAACAGAATGCCAGATACCTTTTCCATTTTTCTTGTCAGCTTTGAATTCTCCCTCGAATCGATCACCTTTCACTGAGATCCAAACGCCTTTTCCGTCCGTTTCATCACCTTTAAAATCTCCCTCAGGTTTCTCACCGCTAGATGAATTCCAAACTCCTTTTCCATTTTTTTGGTCTCCTGCCCATTGTTCTTCGTAACGAGAGCCGTCACCCAAAATTTCGACGCCGTTTCCGTTTTTCATGCAATCTTTCCAATCACCCTCGTATTTTCGTCCATCAGGCGAAGTATAAACGCCTCTTTCGTGCTGCTTATCATCTTCCCATTGTCCCTCGCATCGTCGGTCATCAGGTCAATTATATACTCCTTTTCCGTGTTTGTTTCCATTTTGCCATTCCCCCTCATAATTAGGATCAATGGGCGCCGCTTAAAAAAAACGTAAGCTAGATCACCCTGTTGAAAGAATAGATTTATCGTGGCACCCAAAGTTCGTTTAACTATAAACGTACTCAGTGAGCGTTTAAGACCCCCCTCGCTCCCCCTATTGCTAAGGAAAACTTATAGGTTGATCATTTGCCGCCTCCCACACTCTAAAAAAACTCGGGTTTCTACTAACCCCCCCAAAAAAGTTCCGGAGATTTCTAAAAGTATCCTCAGACCTTCCAAAGCTTAAAAAAGGAGTCTTTAAAACTACGAAATCTAAAAAGATTCTTACGGTGTATCCAGGTGAAGAACCATCTCCTACGAAACCTTTTTTAAGTTTCGTACAGTAGAAAAATACGGAAGCTTCACAGTTTCGTCTTAAACCCTAATAGTTTCTTCGGAATCGTTATGGTTTACAAACGCGATTTCAAAGTAGATGATAGATAAATGAACATAGGAACGACATAAATTGTTCGCGTTTCTGATGGGTGAAAAGCTGTCTCTTTTACGGAGAGCCGGAAAGAAAATAGTTTAGTGCGAAACCTTTCAACGAAAGTGTCTTTGTGAGGTTCACTCAAAGCTCTTTCTACTGCGAAACTTGGAAGAGTCTTCATGCGAGATCTGTGAGATTGGTATACTTTTAGTTACGTTTCTTGTATTTGTACGACATTATAAAGGTAGAATAAAGCTCTGCGAAGCCTCACAAAGGTCATATGTACCGTTTTTTTCAGAGGAATTCAAGCAATTTGCACTAGAACCAGCTTTGTAAAAGGAATTCACCATAAAAAAAAGGTTCGAGATGAAACCCTTTGAAACATTTTTTACTTTCAATGGTTCTTTAAATTAATTAGAACCTTCGGTAATTTAGCAGTAAAGAAATGGAACTTTGAAAAGTTCAGTATCCTCGCTAAAACCTTTGTTGGCTCGTTATGATATCTTTTTTTTACAGAGTAGAGGTTCCGTTTGAGTCCGCCTTGACACAATTTCTCGAATTCCGTACACGCATTGGTGACAGCCATCAAAGGGTGAGAGACATAAATTTAGGGTTTATTCTCAAATATTTTCAATGTAATCAATATATATATATATATCAATTCAACATAGGACCAACTAGATTTTGGTTAAATATTTTGAAAACAATATATTTAATATTGGTGCCATTTATGCAAATAAGAACATCATATCGAGCAGAAGACAGTAGAAGTATTTTTGCTAACTGAATTGTGTTTTTTGATGATTACTGTAATACTCGTTCTGCATAATGACGATGTGGATCAGTAATTTGCTCTGTGTTCTCACATTTGGCTATTTCTTGTTCAGCTTTAATTTCATCACACCAGTTTTTTTTTATATAAATACGCGTATACATGTTGAATGACCTTACTGTTTGAATATTTCGAACGAACAATTGAGCGTTTCTTTTTCCAAATCTATTTAAACACCCAATTGATAAACAGGTTTTGCCTCCGATGATGAACGAAATACTCATCGGTTTTGTAAATTGACAAGTTATTTGAAATTAAGGGACTCGATTTTCTTGACATAATCATTATTGATTATTAAGAGGGTTATAGACTTGTATGATAGATGCATCTCGTTCTACCATTTATAATAGAAAAAATAAAGAAAAGTCATTTCTATGAAGACAAATATTATTGGAATACTGTTTTTAAATCGTGCTATGCAGCGAATATATGTGACACTCGGTAGAGAACAAATATAAGGGGACGTGCAAAGTTAATTCGAGCTCTATTTCTCCCTTTCAAAGAGAAACACAACGCTGCACATCCATCTCAATGATCAAATTTCAAGTAATCCCGCACACATGCTCGATTATTTTAAAACAGAATAAAGTTAACGCAGACACATTTATGTTTGAAATAGGTTATAATGAAGTTTGAAATTAGTTTTTTTATAGTGCTTCTTGTCGTTAGTGGTTCGATCAATGTGCAAGGTGAACGAATCAGCGATGATTGTATGGTCGATCCTGGACTTATCGATGACTGTGTCGAGTGGATAAACACAACCTGTGAGAATGCAACATTTATCACGGATCGACTCGCATATATGGATGTTTGTCCCATGTTTACTATATTTTGGAATGTACCCTATTATAACTTGACGATTTTGTTTGACAGTCATTTATTGAAACCCTACGAGCTCTGTGTCACACCGGTTGGATGCACCAAAGCATTTCGTACAACCGATGATGAGGAAGAAGTTCCCATTGACTGGGATCCATCGAGTTTAGATCCTGTTTGCTTTGGAACAAAGCGTGCCGATCGGCCGACAATGAAGTTTCGCTTCGATGGCCAACATCAGACCCATTGCTTGAGAACATTTATTAACTTTCACTACCAAGTGTAACTGGATATTCTTATGCACAAAATTTTTACTAAATTCGAAAAAAACAAAAAACAATTTTTCGATTATCATTATTATTATTTCTATACATAAAGAAGAAAGTTTGTGTGTTTGTTCTTCATTCATTTGGTTCTTGTGATAGCTAGCGCCACCAAACTTTCCACGGCACTCCTCTAGGCCCAGAGGAAGGTCGAGAGGGGATCGGTGCGATCCAGAGGGGTGGGGGAGATAGAGCTTAGGTGAAGTTTCACCCAGTTTTGATGAACTGTAATTTTTGGCCCCTGTGGTAGCTAACGTCATCAAACTTTGCACGGTACTCCTCTACGGCCAGAGGAAGGTCGTAATGGGTTCGGCGCGACCGAGGGAATGAAGAAGGAGACAGTTGGGTGTGGTTTCACGCACCTTCGATAAACTGATTTTTCACCGATTTGCAGAAATTCCAGAAAACAATCTTCGATTTTTAGGGTATTCATCTTCTGGTACCTTTTCGCGCTGGATGCAGGTATCAATAAAAAGTACAACGCTCACACCCTCTAGGTGATATCTGTTGAATTATCACACTTTAGCTTAGGTTTGAGTGTATGCATCAGAGATGGACAAATCTAACGCAGGGTTGCCGATTAGGAAGGATGGAATGGGGGCGCGATATCCCCCCAAAATTGGAACACTTTCTGCGAAACTCTACAGAAACTTTCTGCTAAATAGAAAAAATGAAAGTTGTCTCAAAAAAATAAAGGTTAACACATCCGGCCCGATTCAGTTTTCTTAGAAAATTTTTTCGAGATATTCATTTTTATGAATAGTTAACTTTTAATAAATGCACTTTATGACCTCTCGATTATCTCCTACCGATTACTCATCGCATTCTTCTTTGTACCATCACATAATGAATCATTTCTTCCGACCAACTGAATAATCGTTTCAAGTTACTGCGTTCTGTATCGTGTTATAGGTAGTACTTGTGGGATATGAGAAGGAAATTTCCATATTTTTCTCCCTCATTCTTATCTCTCTATCGTTTTCTGTATAAAAGTGATCAAAATTTTAAGATGATTCACATGTCGTTTCAAGTAACCGATACAGAAGACAGCGCCGGCTCACTCAGTGAAGTGAGTTCTTTGGACGACCATTTTGATGCAATGCAGCTTGAGATTGGAAGTTCCGACGAAGAAGAAGAGAATTTTTGGATGATTATGGACTCATCGAAGAGGTGACTGCTATTTCAGAAGATAATACAATCAATCCTATCGATTGCTATCGGCATTTCATTATGGACGAAATTATTGACCTCATGGTCCGTGAAATTAATCGATACGCGCAGCAGTACTTACAAAACCATGAGACTAGTAGACGGTCAATACGTCATCAATGGAAACCAACCACTAATGAAGAGATGCTCAAGTTCTTTGGAATCATTATCGAAATGGGGTTGGTACAAATGCCGAAACTGAAGTACTACTGGAGCAGTAGTCAACTGTATGGTTCAGAGATCATTCGAAATGCCATGTCGAGAGAGAAGTTTGAATTACTTCTCAAATTTTGGCATTTTTCGAACAACAATAACAAGAATTCGAACCAGGATAGGCTGTTTAAGTTGAAACCACTCTTAGATTTACTGAAAGAGAGGTTTTCATCAGTATATATGCCTGGCTCAGTTATTAGTGTCGAGGAAAGTATGATACCATGGCGAGACAGGCTTTTATTCAGACAATATATACCTGGCAAAGCGCACAAATACGGTGTAAAGATGTACAAATTGGCGGCTATACACTTAGAATTATGTAATCTATATTGGTGAGCAAGTTTCAATGGCAGGTGTTGGGCATGCTCAAGCAGTAGTAATGAACTTATTGGATGGTCTGGATGGATGTTATCGAACTGTAGTAGCCGACAACTTTTTCACCACTATTTCTCTTGCGAAATATTTGTTGGAACATGATACATATCTTATAGGAACACTAAGAAGTAATCGTGTTGGATCCGGAAGCGAAGTTCTTCGGAAAAAGCTCAGCCGTGGTGAAGTTTACCGGCTCCAGAATAAAGACGGGATAAAATTGATTATGTGGAAAGATAAACAGGACGTCTTGATAATATCTACAAGACCATCGCATTCAGCAAGCGTGGCAGACAGTGAAAAAACAAATTTTCAAAATGAGCGCGCATCATAAAGCCCCAAGTTGTATTAGATTACAACGAAGGAAGACAAGGTACTGATTTTTTTTTTTAAACTTGTTTCTTATTTATTTAACGCCAACTGGAAAAAAACAAAGTACAAAGCTAAGAAGAGCAGGCAAATCGAAGTAAGATCATTATATGCCTGGATCTATTCGACAAAATGAGACATCAATAAAACAGATAAGAGAGTAAAAGAAAACAAAAAAAAAATAAAAAACTGAGAGAGATGGTGATGAGAGAGATAGAGAAGTTTAAGTAAGCAGAGAGAACTTCATCCACGTGACACTGTGTAAGAACAAACAATACAGAAGCATCAAGTCAATCAAAG